ACGTGCTACGGTTATGAGCCGAGTTACGCCATGTAGCAAGTTTTGTGAGGTGCTTTTTTGATATTTAATGGATCGGATTACATTTTTTATTTCTCACCGATATCCGATCCAGTAATTTGGGTCAGTATCGGAACGATACCGATATGTAATATCGGATCGGTCCATCTCTAATAAATACATTTCACATTTTCATATTAATAAATATTTTACACTTTAATCTTACGCCAAACATTATTATAAATACCCCAAAACCCAAGCACAAAAGATTCCCCACACTCTCTTAACCCATGGTCTCTCCCAGAACCTTTAAAGGGTGTCTGGACCCTCAGGGAAACATTTGCCCAAACACCTTGGAGAGTACACAAGAGAGAAAGGTGAGTAATCACATCTTACAATCACTTCTTTACACCCCCTTTAATTCTAGACCTGCACACACACATTTGCATTAATTCTCCTTACTGGTAAACTTTATTTCCTCTGAATCACAACCTTTTCCTTTTCACAGACAACCACCACAATCTTTAATGAGCAGCAGCTGTGCAGGATCTGAAACAAGGCTACCTAATGATTTTATACAGATTATAATATAAATAATAGAAAGGCAGTCCTCTTCCTTACACTTTCATTGACCACCCTGACCTTTCCATGGCCCCTGGGTTTTTGTCTGAGTTTTGAGTTTTGGCTTATTTTGATGTTTATGGTTTATGTTTAAGTCCTTTAGGTTATCTAAGTTAATTTTTACCATGCCTAAGTTGCCATTATAGTTTATTGTTTTTTAGATTCAATTTGTGTCTTCTACCCCTGTTTGAGTTTCCCTCGCCCTTTGTTTTATGTTTGCGTGTCTTATGTTAAGTTCGTGATGTCATGTCTGCATTCCATTCTGCTTCCTGTTTTACTGTGAAAGTCTCTGTCCAGTATGCAGTGTATCTAGTTTTTCTTCCCCTTGTCTCATTAGGTCTGATTTGTCCCAGCTGTGTTTCCACCTGTTTCCATCCTCTGATTATATTTCTGTGTACTTAAGTCCTCTGTCCTCCTTTTTTCAGTGTCAGGTCGTCTGTTGTCTTTTGTGCCATGTCTCCATGGTCCAGGTATTTTTGTATCCACACCAAGTTTTGTGTTTAGAGTTGTTCATGTTTATTTTTAGTTTTCCCAGTTTCAATTGTTTATTCTCGTCTTTGTTTGCCTTATGCATTACTTTGTATTTCTCCATCAGCCACTTTAAACGGTTTTCTGAGCCTTGCTGCATACATTTGGTGCAGCTGGGTATTTTACCTCTCCTTGCAGCTAAAGGTTGACTTGGTGGAGGAGTGGGTGCCTGGTTAACAAGAGGTTGGGTGCCATGGAATTGGTCCTGGCCTGGCGTTTGGACAGGTGCAGTCTTTGATTGGGTTGTTGTTGTTGGCCCATTAAAGTCGCAACCATGTTAGTCAAAGCCTCTACTTGTGCACTAAGCTGTTGGATCGCATCATTATCCCCACTGTTTGCACTCACATCTCCTACTGTCTCAATAGTGTTTACTACTCAGGGCTTTGGGCCTGACACCAATAGTTGTGTTTTAAAAGTACAGTATATAAGAAGATTGCTAACTGGACAGAGTACAGTTCAATAATAAAAAAGATTTTGTTTCTCTTTCTTACTTAAAAAAATGTTGTATTAATGACATAATGTGCCATTCACTCTGACATCAGTGCTACTCCCCTCTAGCACCATTGTTTTTTCTATCACTGACCAGCCTGAACTTGTCATGGGCCCTGGGTTTTTGTCCCAGAGATTTGAATTCTTTATTATTTAGATTCTGGGGTGAGTTGGTGGTCTTCATTCATTCAGTTATAGCTATATTTTTGATTGCTGTGTTTTGAGTTATATGGAGTCTGGATTATTTTTTAATTCGTTTGTATTTTAAAGTAGCATTTATAGAGCTAGCCACACAGCTATGGGTAGAATAATATAAACACAGTGAAGCAGGAGGATGAACGCTAACTTTTTTCCACTCGATAAAGGTTAACGTCAGGGTTCCTGATGGTTAGGGATAAATGCAATTGCATGTCAGGATCCTGATACAAAGCATTAAAACACAACAGCCGTAATAAACCCAGAGTAATTTGGACCCGGAAGCAGGGTTTACACGTTATCCCTTAACAACTGGACTGGAACGTAAAACTAAGGGTAGATTCAGGGTCACCTAATCCAGCCGTAACTATAAGCTTTTCAAAAAGAAAAGTCTAATCTTAAAAGTAGACAGCTTTATGTTGTAAGGTAGACCCTACAATAAAACATACAGAGAAAAACCATAGGGGGTCAATCATATGACCCCTATGAGCAAGCACTTTGGCGACAGTGGGAAGGAAAAACTCCTTTTTAACAGAAGGAAACCTCCGGCAGAATCAGGTTCAGGGAGGGGCGGCCATCTGCTGTGACCGGTTGGGGTGAGAGAAAGAAGACAGGATAAAAGACAAGACTTTCCAGAGCAATGATTCAGAGCAAGAGTCAAGAGTTCAGTTGTAAATCCAGGCAGTTAATGGGAGACAGAGGAGGGAGCTGATTGGAAGTTTTGGTACTTAGATATCATCCCCTATCATCAGCAAAGTAGTGGAAGCTTAGCGCATGATGATGATGATGATTTGGTAATGGGAATCATGTAAATGGTGAAAATAGTAGAGGAGGAACACGAGTCTCTTCAGGTGATATAATGTTTCCTGTCAGGAAAGTATAACTGAAACTAGGAGAGTGCTACACCACTGAGGCCTCTGTATTTAGATAAACAGTTAAAGAGGATGTAATAAGCTCAGGAGAGTGAGGATACTTTTATGGCCAGAGTCTGCAGCAGTGAGGAGGTAGTTTGTGTTTTTGATGAGAGCAGTTTCAGTTTTGTGGTGTGATCTGAACACAGATTGAAAATTTTAAAAAATGTGACATGTGTTGCCAGGATTTAACTAATAAATGAAAAGTTTGAAGTTGAAAAGATACTGAGGTTTTCGATGGTCCAAATTCATGCCAATGATGACTTCAGGTCAGTTCAGTTAAATTCAGTTTTATTTGTATTCGCTTATAAATATGCATTTTTATCCTGTAATAATAACATACAACTAGAAATATGCTACATACATATGTTTGAGCCTTTAAAAGTTTGATCTAAAATCCTAAATAACATAATGTTTGGGGTTTATTCATAATGATAAAAACACTATTATGAACTTAAATACTGAAGAGTCAACGCTACTTCTTAATTACACTTTCAAAAAATTTTAATGACAAAAAGAAAAACAAAATTACTGCTAAATATTATGTCAAAAAAAGTAATATTCTTATGTTATAGCACACTACTCTCTTAGTACTGGTATATGTGTGTATTAGTAAAATCACATTCATACAAAAATACACAAAATTAAAATAAAATGGAGTCAAAGGCAGGATCAGCAACTACAGGGAGATTCAACTATAGCATATCTACAAACATGATAAACATATGCTACTCAACTTAAAAAAAGTAAGTTTAGCTAAAACTGTATTTAATTATTATCATTATAATGTAATAAACACCAGATTCATATCAAAGTGTTGAAGCAGGTTTAGATTTGTAGCTGAGCACCAAACTTACAACTCCATCCACCGTGGGCACGTTCGGTTAGTGCGCTCACGCTACGCTCGTTTACTTTAATCATTCAGCGTTTTTATTTTAACAGAAACTGTCATTTTTTCCCCATCTTCCTGCTGTGAACAACATGGGGATAAGAAAGGGTTGGGTGAGTATCATCATATCATTGGGCACTTTATGAAGGGACCTGTTCTATATATCTATAAATCATCATTAATGTCACAATATATATTTATATGATTTTAATTTACTATTCATTTTACATGTTTATATTGTGGAAACATGTCACAACTTTGTTATGTTATTACAGTGAGTATGGTAAATTTGTAGGTCTCCATTTATAGGTTTCTGTGATACTGACGGTCAGACTTAAACGTGTTGACAGTTAATAGGTTCAATTATTAGGTGAAAAATAATTTCACAAATTTATTTATGTTGCAAAAAAAGTAGTGCCATTCTTAGATATCGCTATAATATAATTACAGCGATTTTTGTAAAAGCACTGATTGCAATACTGCAACCTAAATATTAGACACATAAGTGTCTTAAGCAAAGTAAAAAGCACCATACCGACGAGAGAACAAGATGACGTTGCAGAAAATGCAGAAATCAAGATTAATAGTCAACATATTCAAGATGGCAGAAAGAGAGCGTGTTACCATAAAATGTTTCCAAACGCTGTGCAGACTGCTAAATACAGTCGTAAACTCTTCAAGCAGAGCAACAAACCAGGTTAAGGAGATGTAAAAACAAAGCGGGGTATGTACGCCGTGAAGTCTGACACAAATATCCAGAATATGACCAGAAAATCATGGAGGAACTGATTGTGAACGATGGCAGCGATGACTGAAGTGACGACCTGGTAGATTTTTCCATTCCATTAAATCCCGGAGTAACGGGAATCTCTTTGGCATGAAAATAGTCCGTTTCATAATAGTTGAGCTCTTTTTCACAAAGTTTCTGTACATTTAAGTAAACAAATTTCAGCCAACATCGGTAAATGATGGGTCAGTATCGGCCCATCGGTGAGGAAGAGCTGTGATGTGTAATCTCATGATTTTCAGTCATTAATATTTACATTAAATTATTGTATTTCCTCGTCAGTTTCCTCACTATCGCATATTTAGTTTAGGTTTTTTTTATTTTTTCTTGGATTATAACAAAAGTTTATGGATCTTTTCTATCTTCTGTATGAAAGACAAGCTTTTAAAAACAAATCCATCAAAGCCACAGATCCACAGTTAGTGTTATTGTTAAATACTGACCTCAATTCTGTTTTTTCCCAGTGGTCCTAATCCTCTTCCGTAGAGACTGGATGTGGGGTTGTACATTTTCGGTAGCTTTACTTTGTGGTCAATTGCTACTGCGAAGATATACTCCAAAATCATGTCCAAAACTTGACAACGGAAAGCTCGCGTTAAGTTACAAAGAGCAGAAGGTGGGAACACTCACCACTGTTGTGTCATAAAAAAAAAATCTAATGATCAATTTTGACATTTAAAGAGTTTAGATCGATCTGTTGTTTACATCACTCAACACAAGCAGAACTGCATCACTGCAGCAGAAGACACATCGTCCACATTCAGAAGCACATCTCTGTATAGTGACAGTTCTTATGATGATCGGATATGGGTGGCATAGGGTCAAAAAAGCCGGATTTGATGCGCCTGCAGTGGGAACGTAGCCCAAGTTTGTATTGACAACATTAAGGAAATGATATTGGTTATGACTTTGTTAGTGAGCTGAAGGATGGCGTTGGTGCTTTGGATGGTTCTCGTTTTGACAGGCAGATGTTTTCTGGATTGTGCGTCTTCTTGTCATGTGTGTGATGACGTTGCTTCCTTAGTGTGTCTGTTGGTCTTGTTTTGAAAGAGATTTCTTCAAAGTGTGGATTCAAATTCAAGAATCTGAACAGATTAAATAAATATACAAAACGTAACATTTTCTTTATGTGCGTACACAGATTTTTTTATTATTATTATTTTTCTCCATTCCTTTTTCCAGATGTGTGAAAGTTAAAGGAAATGTTTGCAGCTGTCTCTTTAACTTAACGTTCGTTGACGGTGTCTTGCTTGGATTTTCTTTTCCGAGCCGTTGGTTGATGTTCGAAGCTCTCCGTCTCCTTTTCAACAGGTAAAAATACTTGTCAGGGTTTAAACATGGCGACCGACTCTGACTCCTGAGTACACAGCATCTACATTTCCAAGTCTAAAAATAGAGCCAAGGCAGGAATATTGAGCATCTTTCAACAAGGCAAAGGATTTACATGTAAGGAAGCATAACAAGCATGATAAGCAAATATAAGAAATATTCATGCATACAGGTGAACTTTAATCATATTCACAGCAGGGCTTAGCAGAAATAAAATTAAAATCTCAAAACCTGATGAGGAGCAAAGACAGCAGGACTGTAGATACACTGAGAGCTAATTAGGAAACAAACGCAGGTGAAAGTAATGAGGACTGAGCCGAGGATCGAAAAAGGAGAGCGAGGAACCACAAAGGGGCACACAACAGAGGTTGTGAGGAGGATTACCAAAATATAGCATAAAAGAAGCACAAAAACACCAAAAACCTGAAGTCCAAAAAAAGCTGCAGTTCCTCTGAAGGCCACTGGAGGCTCCAGCAGTTCTCCCAGGTTAACGTGTTTACAGACTGATACAAAGCACAGCTCTGGTCTGTGTAGATCCTCCTTAATAAAAGCATACAGGAAGATCATTTTAATTTTATAGCTCCTCTAATTGGATACCATTAAGTTGGGTGGATCGTGTGTTTGATGAAGTGCACGTCTTCACAGATGATCGCATCACGCTTCAAATCAGAATGAAGGATGCTGTAAAGCACTAAAGTGGTGCTGTCACAGAATTTTTTATTTATTTTCAACTTCAATTTAAATCTTTAAAATCAGCAGAAAGCTAAAAGTGGAACTGAATCTGCTATCCCAGCCTCTTCTGTAACTGATAAGATGAAAACTTCCAGAAGGCTGTTTACCACACACGATTTACAGCTCCATAGAGCCCTATTCATTCTGCAGTCACTCAAGAGCACCCCCTGCAGGAACAAAGAGTGATTTTTGTCCTCCCCTATCATTTCCAACCACGGGTTTAGTAATTTGAGATCAAAATTTTTGGTGGGGCAGCCAATCAAATTTCTGGTGTGCAGTGTCGAATATTTCATCTGCTTTTGAGCACGTGCACATGACGTGCTCACTCCTGCCTCTCTGGTGGTGATTTGAATGTACGCTGCAGTTACCAGCTGCATCCAGCAGAGGGAGGAAACACGTGGTGAACTGGACCCACCATGGGGCCAGAGCAGGAAGTGCATGTGGCGGCAGGCCTGGACTGCAGAGCTCAGTCTGCACATGTGAGGCTTTGAGCTCTTCTGTGAGGATTCATAGAAACAACAGCAGCTTTTATTCGTGTTTTCCCTCCGCTCGCTATGAGACCTGCTGAACTACAGGCCAGCAAGCGCTCTGTGGGCCGTGGGTACATACTCAACTTTTCAGGAAGGTTTCTCAGTGAAGTGACCCCGAAGAGCTGGCTGAGGGTCCAGAAACAGCTAAAAAAGGTGCTTCAGAGCTTCCTTTATTGCCTGTTTTTTTTAGCAGAGGACTCAGGTGAGTGAAAACACTTTAAAACCAATCAGAGGACTTTTAAATAAGTCCTTAAAGTCCTGCAACAGTATCACCGCTGTAACTGTGTCAGGAAATATTAAATATCCAAATACTGAATGTTAATTATGAGTAAATCTGCACCTCCAGCTTTAAACCATCCTTTTTATTTAAGCCCACTGAAGACGAGTCGAGCGCCTCAGCAGCAGCTTTATCACCTCTCACGGCATCATGAATAAATCAATTTATTTCCAGTATTTCTTTACATTTGAATTTTTCTAGTTTTCTTATACTACTAATCATAAACTACGTTCTTAAATGGTATTTTATGATTTATGATTTGCATGTGTGTCCTGTATTTGACTTCCGATGAGGTCAGTGTTTCTGAGCGTGCTCTTTATATTTCAAACCTACAGATGAACTCTGAACACCATAAAAACTTCTATAAATAAATATGAGCTGAATTAAACTGATCAGAGTGATTTTTAGGTTCTCCAGTTTTCAGCTTCCAGTAGCTTTTCTAAGCCGCCTTTCAGATGAATTAATCATGAACCACCAATTTTTACACATAAAAAACCTAAAAAAGAAAAAAAATGGTTAAATTTTTAAGACAAAGAGGTCTCCATTGTCAGGTTCAAAGCGCAGAGGCTGGACACGGTGTTAATGAGCGCTTGTACAGCGTCGAGCTGTATCCTCATTTCTTTATATTTTGCTTCCACAGACCTTCTGTTAGTTTTCTAGAAGTGCTCCCGAGCAACAGTTCTCTACGGAGCCCCGCAGAGGACATGGGAGAAAAAAAAATTAAGACGGACTTTTTCGAGATCTCGCAAAACAAACTCGGGATCTCGCAAAACAAACTCGGGATCTTGCGAGATCTCGCAAAAGTTGAATTCCAACAATGGCGGCAGCTACTTAGTTGTAATATTACTCTTTCTGGGTCACAAAATACACTTTTAAGATATTTTGAGGCGTGAATGTAGTTGTGTAAACGTCAGATACCTGCTCGGTTTTCCGGCACATCGTGCCTCGACCTCCTGGTCGGCTTCGAGCTGGCGGCCTCCGAAGAATGCGGCTAAAACTTTTGGGAGATCTCGCAAAACTTTTGCAAGATCCCGAGTTTGTTTTGTGAGATCTCGCAAAAGTTTTTGCGTCTTAATTTTTTTTTCTCCCATGTCCCCTGCGGGGCTCCGTAGTTCTCCACTTTCTGAGCATCTGTCAGAGTTTTTCTTCGGTCGTCGGCTTCTCTCTCTCATTTTCAGTCCAGTTCTATGGCGTTTTTGTTGTGCCGCTATTCTGAGCACGTGTAAAAAAAATTGTGCGAGTGCAAATGTTGCATTTTGAGGAGAAAATTATTTTGATTGGAGAAAAGTTTAATTTGAGCGAACAGAATTTACTGCTGCGTGCAGGAAATGTATTTCAGTGTTTGCTATTATCCATATACAGACACAATAACAGCCGCTCTCGCTCAGATCTCTGCTCTGTGCGCACTCTCTGTACACTTATAAATGTGCCTCAAAACCAACCAATCACAGACTTGGATGCAAAAATTCTGATTGGCTGTTTTGGTCTCCAATCAGCTCGCTAGCTACTGCTTTCCAGAAACATGGTCCAGAATGTAGCTAAACCCATTTTTGGTTAGTGTGTTATTTTAAAATATTAAATTTTTTCAGACCATTGTTGGTTTAATCTAGTTTAAACCACTCCACTGGATCAGAATAGAGGCACAAAAATAACACCATACAGTTCTTGTACCTGACCATTTTGAAGCATTCAAGCGCTTAAAAGACACCAAACTCATGGTTAGCTCACAGCGTTGTGTCTGCATGTAACAAACATAAAATAACATAAAATAGGAATTTTACACCAACAAGGTGATTCTCAAAGAGCTATTAACTAAAAACTCGGTATATCTCAGCTGGGTGTGCAGCGTGCTTTTAAAAACAGCAGATGAAAGTGTCTGAATGGCCTTCAGACAAAAAAAGAAAAGCTAAAGCAAGTGCCTTTACTGGAGTAACTGAAACATAATCATTTTAATAACGAGAGGGAGGCAGCAGAAACGGGTGGAAGCCTATGCTGGAGTGTCTCAAACATAAAGCTGTGTTTTAAAAATGCTGAATGATTTTTCTCTCTGACGGATTTTTTGCTTCTTTTGTTTGCAGCAGTGTTTAGTGTTTGTGAGTGTACGTTTACGGCGGCTCGTTCAAACATCACCATCAGAGCTCATGGAGAAAATGATCTGAGATGATCTTTCTGCTGACATCAACAACGTCCACCGTCTCTTTACTTAAGCAGTCTGTGCACTGTGGAATTTCCTCACATATTCTCTTTGGTTCATGATGTTACTTCATTGAGGTCAAAGGTCACTGATTTCACCTGTTCAATCATACCTACTGGCCGATTTTCCAGCCTCTTATTTGTCAGATAAGCATTAGCACAGCGAGGCTTCTTCTCAGTAGTTTCCTTCTCACCTTTTTATTTGTCATCAGCACCACAGCATCAGTAATGAAAACACACAGGCTTCACTCTGATTGGACGGTTTAACATTTTTATTTATTCACTGGCTTTAGTGCACATTGTGCTGCAGCTCTTCTTCTGTGGTTCTTTGTACATAAACTCTTTATTCCCCATTTTTTTTAAAAGAGAGGAGGATTTTTGGCACCTTCAATACACATTTCACAAATATCCTTGTCTCCCTCTTTTCTGCATCAGACTGAAGCATCTGTTATCTTTTACTTGGACACAAACAGATCACTGATGTTCAGGATGACTGGAAATCTCACCAAGCAGCAAATGATGCATTTCTCTGATAATTCTTAGTCTTTTGTTTTTTATTTATTGAGATTGAGGAAATTAAAAAAGCCAAATTATTTATTCCACTCTTTCTTGCCTTGTACCACCATATGTGCTGACAACTGTCACAGATTTATGTTAATAAAAAATAATCTTAAAAACGGGACATTTCTCAGGGAAGCTCTGAACTGTTCCTGTCCCTTTAGCCCGATTTTCATCAACATCATTTTCACACATTAAGGCTTGTAAACTGTCCATCTTTTTAACTTTAAAATATCCTGTTATACAATCAGAACATTAGCTTTCAGTGGTTATTATTATTATTATTATTATTATTATTATTTAACATTACTGAGTTATACTCACAGTGACACACTGAGGAGGAAAACACTGTCTTTAACCAGCAATAGGGGGCCCCTCAGCCCCCCCTGGAGTGTACGCCCCTTGCTGCAGTGATATAACAACACTTATTTTTAGGAATTGTTGCCACCACAAATCCCCCCGAAGCTATGCCCCTTATTAATAAATAGGTTTTTAATGGATCAAAATCTCCATAGCGATCTATAAAATGACTTTAAATCGCCTCCTTTTGACACATTGTTTACTTTTTAATACCTTTTTCAGTGAGCCTTGCGTATGTTTTTGTACTTTAAATACTCTGATCAACATATTTTTACTTCTTTTCTAATAAAATCTCAACATGATAAAATACCGGAAGATTCGCTCCACCTCTTCACATTATATGAACAGTTGCAGTTGCACTGAGGCATAGATTGGTCAAAAATACATTATTGACCCTCTTCCTTCTCCTGCTCCTCTTCATTGTCCTCACCGTCGCTCTCCTCTAGCAGTCGGGACTGGTGAGCCAGCCTCTGTGCCACAGCCGTTACCATGGCAGCGCCCTTCCCGCTACTGTCCTCCGAGATGAGGAAGGTGATGTCACATTGAGGGGCGAGCAGGCGCATCGCCTTCTGGAGCTTACTGCTGAAGCTGGAAAAGGAAGGAAAGAGAGAGGGAGGTGTTTAAAGGACAGAACTGCCAGGTTTTGCCATTTAATGAGTTGCAAAAAAACAAAAACAAAACAAGAAATGGATTTCACTAATCTACACAAGGTCAAAATTATAGCTACAGGCTCAAATCTATGCATACACCCAAATGTGGTCCTGAAGGTACTACAGTGTCTTTTAAGTCAAGGCCTATCGATATAGTGATAACGATTGGTAGTTTCTCTTTGCCAGAATAAAAAGGATTTGACAGCAGATACTGGATTGACCGATACTCAGAACAATGGGAAAGTCTATGAAACTTAGGAAATCTAGGTTGGGATGTTCTCTTGGAGCCATTTCTAAATAACTGCAGATTCAGAGATCATCAGCTCAATGTGTCTCCACTTTGCTGAGGGTCTGAAACAATATCCAAACTGTCCCTCTCAGAACAGGGAAACCTGGTCAGGATGTTCAGGAACAACCACCAAACTGCTGAAGCACCAGCGTCACTGTCCACAGTGAGGTCAATTTTATATGTCCATCAACTGAAAGGGTGTCGACCAAGAAAGAAGTTCCTCCTTCAAGCTTGACTGAAATTTGCAGCGTCCCACATGGACAAGCGCTTCATAATACAGCCTAGGACTACCTGTATCATTCCCCTGAAATTAAATGGAATTTTATTTTAAATTACAATTTAGCACAAATTCTATTCAAAGCAAAAAATAAAGAACTGCCCGGTAATATTCTGAGTATGTTTTTTTTTGAAAGAAGGAAGTTATAATTTAAGGGGTTTTTGTAACTTCAAAACAGGGAAGGTACATACTACAAGAAAAGGCTTTTGTGTTTCTGTTCATGGAGTGAAACTATGGAACAGTCTGAATATGGAAATAAAACAATGTCCAAACATAAAACTGTTCAGAAAGAGTTATAAAAATATGATCTTCTCAAACTATAAAGAAAAGGAAAATATTGAAATTAAGTGAATGTCTCTATTTAAATTTTTTTTTTTTTAAATTCATGATGTAATATTATAGTATATAGTATATCAGAAATCGGTTCACTATTTTTATTACAAATTATATCAGTAAGGAAGCTGACTAAATATTAACTGATAATTTATGACAAAGGGGTGGGATTAAATAAGTGTTTACTTCTTCCCACTCCCTTTCAACATGTAAATTAATCAGAACGTTTTTTTTTTGTATGTATTTTGTATAGTATTTTTTTTCTCTCATTTTCTTTTCTAAACGTACCTGTATATTGTTCACATGTTGAAATAAATTACAAATCAATCAATCAAAAAAAAAAAATCTAATTATATTTACCTAAAGATATTTAAAAGTAGACATACACAATGTAAAATTACTTACATAGTACATATATTTATCCAAACACATCAAAATTGTTTACGGGATGAATAAAGCAGGCTAATATTAAACTTGTGGAAATGCCTTCCCAAAGCCCTGACACCAACCCTACTGAAAATATGGACTATGCTTGAACTATGGACTATGAACTCTACCAAAACTGGCAAGAAAAGTGATCAAATATTCAACCAGAGTTATGGCAGAGGCTTGTTGACGGCTACTAAAAGTGTCTGATCAAAGTACAACTTGCTAAAGAAGACTTAACCTAGTATTAATGGGAATGTATGAATATATCTGAACATGAATGTACAGAATAGTGCACTCAGTTCTTGTTTTTAAAGTCATTAAAAGTGTACTCTGTACAATCTTTCCAAATAATGTTTAAGTATTAAAGAAAAGACTATTAGAAAAAGACTGGTTACTTAATATCAGTAAACCAAGTGAAGTTTGGTTAAATGTTCAAATGTCTTTGCTCTGTTCACCAAATGCCTCTTACGTGGGGTGTTTTCTGTACACTGTCCCGTCCACCCCGACAGTGGTCTTCAGATGGTCCAGTTTGCGGTTGTTACGGATGTGGTTGACGAGGGTTGCCAGGGCGGCAGCACAGAGATGGGCAGAGCGTGAGGAGATAGTGTCGCAGACCAGGCGCACCACAGAGGCGTCGACTGGATCCCAATCCAGACCCAACTCAGTCAGAATCTTCATGGCGTTCTCCAAACCGCTGTCCGGCCTGAGCACCAGACAAAGTGGTTAGATAATAAAGACCAGGAGAGACTGCTAGAAACAAGGAAAAAGCAAAAGACTCACTCCTCAATCTCAGAGATAGCCTTGGTCTCAAACTGTCCTGGGGTCCCCAATGCCTCCGATATCTGTCCTTTAAACAGCAGCTTGTCCTTGGTCATCTTCACCAGCACCAGTCGAACGATTTCTCCCAAATACATGCCGCTGATCATCTTCTCAAAGCTACAGCAGAACGCACATAATCAGGACAGAAACTCTCACAAACATTAGCTATCAGTTTCTAACTTCTGCTGTAGCCAAAAATTATTGTATAGAAGTTGTATGAAAGACTTATCTGAAGCTGATCACATGAACGGGAGAGGTGTGTTATGATTCTGAATAGTTGTGAAACATACATGTGCACGCCAGGGTTGATGGAGGTCTTGTCCACCTCCACGTCGAACTCAGTCAGGATGTCATCCAAGGATTTGTCATCCCCAAAGCCGCCCCACTCCGTGTTGATGCACATCCGTCCGTCCTCGCCCTCAATACCCTTCACATTCGTCATTTCCTCCATGTAGCAGGCGTTGGTTCCTGTACCTGCAGGAAAATGTTGTTTAGATTAAACCGCGAAGCATTTAGCAGCTTAGAAGAGTCAAAATCATAATAAAAGGTAATTATTTGCTACTCCATATTGACCCCAAAATGTCATAAAATTAAAATATAATTTTATGATATTTTAAAATATAAAAATTAAAATCTAGGTCTTGGAGGAAGCCCTCCAGATATAGCAATGAATGTTTGGCCCAAATATGGCAAATATGTATACTTGTGGGCCACACCGTTCTGTGACTCCTTCACCCATGGGCAGATGTCACTTGTCATTCAGACTACATCTGGCTCAGACAGCAGCTGCTGCATCTGTGTAAAAAACATTGTAGCTACTGTGACATCATTCTCTGTTGTTCGAGTAAATTTGGGGGCTTGTCTGGGATTCTGAGCCAAGAAGCATCATAACCAAAGCACAAATCATACTCTAATATCACTATTTCTGGGTCTAAAACTTGCTATTACAGTACTACAAATAACATCTACTTTATAATACTATAAAGTAGATCCGTGAACTGTAGCTTTTAATGTAAGCCTGGTATTTATTTTTTTCTTTAGGGACCATCATTTAGATAATTTTGTCTTCAGTGAGATTTAAAAATGGTGACTGAGAAGAAAAACCTTGTCAGGAAACTTTTTACTGAGGTGAAGGGGTCAAAGGGCCATCTTTTCAATGACTTTTATCCAATTTGCCTTCTTCGTAAAAACAAAGACATCTCCCCTTGCTGGTGATTAGAAGGACTGCAATTCTATTTTTAAAACCCAGAGGCTGAATCCATCTTGTGTAAAAAGACTTTCATGTTTGTGTACTTCTTGCCTTCTTGTGACTGTGGCTCTTTAGGAGTCATTTTTTTCTGCTTTGCGTCTCTTTGTGGTTGTTTTGTGTATATATATAGCTGCTTTTATGTCTTTGTTGTGGATGTTTTATCCATTCAGTAATTTATCTATGACCTCAATAAACCGACTACTCATCATCTTGTCAGTGTGTTCGGGGGGTGCAGGCAAACACAGCTCAGTCAGACAGATGTGAGGTTTATCTGAGGACCGTCCCACTCTATTTATAAAGCACAACAGCATGGCTGATTAAAGTGCTGTACAATAACGGCAAACAAAGACAAACACAGACAAAGACATCCCAGAGTTCTTTACTTATTGAAATTATGGTTACCAATGATCATGCCGATTTCACAGCTCTGGTCCCTGTAGCCGCAGCTCATCATCGTTCCCACTGTGTCGTTCACCATGGCAACCGAGCCAATATGATAGTCCTACAGAAAAGAAGACAGGCAGACAGGTGCATTTATATCTCGCCTATTCACAAATATCCTGCCTACACAGAGAGAGAAAGTGCCACGCTGCTTTTAATCTGCACCTCAGCAGCATTCACAGAGAGATGAAGTGGGAAGAATTACTCGCCGATTCAAATATGAGGCCCACAAACAATTTAACATAACATTTTCTGTCAGCACATCAGCATGTGGTGCTACTGATTTTATCCCTTACAGTTAAGTCCACGTCTTTTTAGACAATGACAGATTTTTTTTGTAGCTTTGCTTCTGCACTCGTGGCTGGTATACAAGCTGCTAGTGATGGTAAATATGATTCTTTTTACTGAATCGAATCGGGTTTTTGAGTCATTTGATTCACTGAGTCAGTTGACCAGAGAGTGCAAAAAATGTACATTTTCACTCAAACTTAATTTGTTTCTCTTTTCATGTAAATCCTACTGCTAAGATGAGTGATTCTAAAAGAAAACTATTTTATAGAGCAAAAAATAGCAAAAACATTTCTAAAATTTAGCAATTTCCTATCAAAATTGCTTAATAAACATTTATTTTGTTTATTTTTATTTTATTAGTATTTTCCTTAAATGTGTCAAATATATATTTTCTCATCTAAATGTCCACTGAGCTGTGAGCCAGGGGGCGGTAATGCGCCTTAACATTGGTTGCCTACCAAGGAGAAGAAGAAGCTGTGAGCCAGGAGGGAGGGGGTGAGTTAGCTCTATGATTCAGCACAGAAGGGAGGGGGTGAGTAGCTCAAATGTGCTGTTAGCATGTTAGCAGAGCGATGCTACTGTGAACCGAGGAGCTATTGTCTTGATGTGAGCTTCTACTCAGGGTTTTTTCTTCCAGTTCAGAGCAGAATTTTTTTTGTTAAGATACTGGATGTTGTGTTTTTCTCCACAATTTTAATTATAAGCTAGATATATTGCTGCTAACAGCAACAGGGATGAGTCAGTGAGTCAGTTGGGCTTGTGAATCATGATTCACGAGTCAGTAAAATGATTTTCGAGTATTGAACGATTGTTCATGATTCGCGCATCACCACAAGCTGCTGTTATTCTGATGTTCGAACATCATGAGTGAGTTAGCATCAACTGAAACAGCAATGAGATACACACAAGTCTGCTCTGCACTGTATGCAGTGTCACAGAGTGTGTGTGTATAAAGAAACATTGTGCTGAAGGGTAAAACGCAGCTAAAACGCTGCAGCTGGAAGAACGGTTTTGCAGGCCAGAGCTGAAACACATGAATGTGATTTCTGGTGTTTTTGGACCGACCCCTCTCCTTTGAATGGCCTCTTTCAGTAACTGGACCACGTCTTTCCCCTCCACCCCGGAGCAGTTGTAGCCTTTGGTCCAGCGGATCAGAATGCTCTGTGCAGAAAAACACAATTTACAGAATCTATCAGTGACATCGCCGTGAACACGAGGACTGACTGCAGGAGGAGGCACAGAAACCCCGGGGAGAGTCCAGGGTCTCTAAGGGTCACCCTTCTTGGATCTCTGTGGTAGTTTTTTTAGGTTTTGTCTCCTTGTTTAGGTTTTCTGCACTTTTGTGATAGTTTTCTGTCTCTGTGATTATTTCTGATAATTTTCTTTTCCTTCTAAAAACTCATCTAAACCACCTTTAAAACCATGAACAGCCTAACCAGCTACAGGCTACACTGCTGATGTCTCCTCAAACAGCCAAAACACATAGATCACTGTTGTGTATTTACACTGTGTGTTTGTGTGTGTGTGTGAGACCTTGTCGATTTCCAGCTGTTCACAGGGGAAGGAGAAGGTGAAGCCCAGAGGAAGAGTTTGACCCTTCAGGTTATGAGATTCAAGGAAAGTGTTCTGACCCGACACTCTGAAGTGATTGCTGCCAGCTCAGATTTCTTTAACCCTTCTAAACATTTGGTCCTTCGAGCCGGATGTGAGCAACTGCTTCAGCCTTATATGTTCAGAATGGAAGACCGATACCCATACAGAGAGTCTGACCGCCCACACAGACATAGCAAGCTGCCATCATACCTCCAGAACTATGAAGTGGACGACCTCGCTAAGAACCGACTCTCACGTGATGATCAGGGCAAGCATTCTACTCATCCTGAAATTCTCCAATATATTCATCACATGAAAGAGGAACACAATCAACTCCGACTAGATGTGCAACGCCTGACAGAATTGATCTCTAGCTCACCTGTACTAGCTCCACAGCATGCCACATCACGGTCTGGACTTTGTGAGGATGGGACGTCAACCACACCTGCCCACACTAGTAAGCTGGTGCCAATCAAAGGTCAGAAGAGCCCACATCAGCCTGTAAGTGCTCCACAGGTGCCATTTGGGGATGAGTCTCAACATCCAAAGGACAGCCAGCATGGCCTGATTGAGGAGCTCACTCACAGTCTAAATGACGCAGACCTCGACAGGGAGTGCAGTGCACAGTCACCATCACCTTCAGTCGACTCATGCCCTGAATCTCAAGATTTTCTTCCACCAATGACAGCAGAGAGGCCCCCTCCACTTCAAGCAGCGTCAGCAGCAAGGGGACGGTCACCGTATTATGCAGACCAAAGAAGGGTTGATGAGGTGTATGCTCGTCGCCACAGGAGCTACAGTCAGGCTGCCACTCCTCCGAGATTGCAAAGACTAGGGGCCTGCTATGAAGATGATCCATACTACAGACAAGATGACAGGTATCCTACCCCTGGTCACCCAAGCAGCCCTGACAGTCACTATCGTTCTCCTTATGGATATGGGTATCAGGATTCAAGTCATCCCTACAGGCGCCTGTGGTAACTACCCAGATGACCGCCGACAGTGTCCACCTGATCGCCTGCAACCAGGTGGGTGCCCTCAGACACCACTCTCTCTCAGCAGAGCCCAACCAATAGAGACTTATCGTGGACCTCAACCAACGATCCCCGACTTTGTGCACGAGGACCCACGTGAGTTTGCAAGATTAAAGTTAGCCCTAGATAACATACTTCCACTTGATGCTCCTGAACACTTCAAGTTCCAGATCTTGACAGATCATCTTAAGTGTGAAGATGCACTACTTGTAGCTGACTCATACAGTAACAGTCCATTCCCATTTGCTGACACCATGAGAGCACTTACAGAAATGTATGGGCAACCTCAACATCTGGCCTTAAAAAGAATTACCAAACTGATGGATGGACCCAACATTAGGAGTGGTGACATCAGAGCCTTCAAGTCTTTTGCACTCCAAGTTCGTGCGCTAGTGGGTATGTTACACCAGTTGGGAGAACAGGGTCGGACAGACTTGAGGTGTGGCTCACATGTATCTCGCCTCTTAGCTAAGCTACCTTATGACCTAAGAGCAAATTTCCAAAGATTTGTCAATCCCATCAACACTCCTATACCAACACTGCTTGATCTGGCTGAATGGCTTGAGTATGAGGTGCGTGTCCAGGTAATTGGAGACCAATACTGTGACCACTCCGACAGGGAGAGGCAAGTTTCACGAAAGGAGAGACGTCCTGAGCATAAGTTTCAGAAGGCTACCACCATTCTCCATGGTAGTGAGCCCAGGAGAAAGATGGAACGTGACATGCCAACGAAACAAGAAAGGCCCAAGAAGTACTGCCCATTCTGTAATACAGTGCAGCATTACCTAAATCAGTGCAGTAACTTCAAACTCTTGTCGAAGGAGCAGAAGACAGAGTGGATCAAGGCAAATAAGAGGTGCTGGCAATGCGCCCGTGATCATCAAGCAGCTAAGTGTAACCTCAAAGCCAAGTGTAAACCATGTGGGCGCCGACATCTTGAAGTTCTTCATGATGTCAATACCAGCCCAGATGCTACAGCCACTGATTCAACCAGTGCACCAGAGGAAAGCACATGCTTAGTAAGTTCCACCTCTGAGACACTGTACATAGACCGGCAAACCAATAGCAGTCAGGTGCAACTCAAGCTAAGTCGTGTCATCATTAGGAGCAGTACCAAGATGGTTGAAACCTATGCTATACTGGATGATGGTTCAGAGCGTACCATACTTCTGCATGAAGCAGCTGATCACTTGGAGCTGCACGGGGAAGCTGAGGACCTAGCACTCCGCACTGTCCGTCAAGATAGCTGTACCATCCATGGTGCCGCTGTGTCATTCTCCATTTCTCCTGCCTCACAGCCTAACAAGTCCTTCCAGATCCACCAAGCCTTCACAGCAAAGGAACTTGGCCTAGCACGCCATAGTTACCCAATAAGAGCATTACAGGAGCGGTACCGTCACCTTAAGCACCTGCCACTGCCAGACATAAAGGAAGTACAGCCCCTTCTGCTTATTGGGACGGATAATCCACATCTTCTCACTCCTGTGGAGCCAGTACGTCTAGGCCCTCCAGGTGGACCTGCAGCTGTGCACACCCGACTTGGATGGACTTTACAGGGTCCATCGAGATTCCTACGTCAGCGGCTAACCCCACAGCAGTGTCTCTTCACCTCTGGGGCCTCACCAGAAGCTGAGCTCTTCAGCCATGTTGAGAGACTCTGGAAGGTGGATATCTTGCCATACCGGAGTGAGCGGCTCATTACCAGGTCCCGACAAGACGCTGAGGCCATTCAGAGACTTGAGGAAAGGACAATTCGAGTAACAATTGATGGAGTAAACCGCTACGCCACCCCACTACTGTGGAAGAAGAATCTTCCCCCTCTTCGTGCTACACCAGAGGCAGTTTTGGCCCAGCTTCGTGGTACAGAGAAACGACTTGCCAGAGAACCACAGAAGGCAGCTGCCTACTCTCAGGATATCCAAAAACTGCTGCAGGCTGGCTTCGTCACAGCTGTTGGCCGAAGCTGAAGAGGCCGAAGTGAGTAACTGTTCGTGGTTTATCCCCCATCACATGGTGCACCACAACGGGAAGGACAGGATAGTGTTCAACTGTTCCTTCACCTACAAGGGTCAGAGCCTGAACGACTGCCTTCTTCCAGGGCCTACACTGGGAGCTAGCCTGTTGGGAGTCCTTCTCAGGTTCAGGGAACACCCAGTCGCCTTCAGCAGTGACATAAAGGGGATGTTCCATCAGGTCCGTCTGCTAGATGAGGACAAACCCTTTCTCTGTTTCCTGTGGCGAGACATGGAGGTAGACGAAAAACCCACCATCTACCAATGGCAGGTGCGTCCCTTTGGGACTACATGCAGTCCGTGCTGCGCTACCTTTGCACTTCAACACCATGTCCAGAAACGCACTGAGCCAGGAGAGGATGCTCGTCTGTCCATAGAACGTAATTTCTATGTTGACAACTGTTTGCAGAGCCTCCCATCAGAAGGCCAAGCCAAGAAGTTGGTGGATCGCCTGCAGTCTCTCCTCTTGGAGGGTGGATTTGAACTACGACAATGGGCTAGCAATGTCCACACGGTCATCAGCCACCTACCAGTTGAGTCCCAGTCAGAGGGTAGCGTTCTCTGGCTCTCCCAGGAGTCAGCCGATCCTCAAGACCGCACTCTAGGACTCGTATGGCACTGTAAGACTGATGCACTCCGGTACAAGCATCAGCAGAGCGTCAGTTCGGAGCCAACAATGCGCAACATTTATCGGCTGCTCGCCCAGCAGTATGATCCTCTCAGGTTTCTTATTCCATATACAACCAGGGCAAAGGTCATCGTGCAACACCTCTGGGACAAGAAAAGAGGATGGGATGATCCTCACTTACCTGAGAATCTGCTCCATGCCTGGCGTTTGTGGGAAAGTGAACTCGGCCAGCTCTCACAGATAACGCTGCCGAGATGCTACACTGACTCACGCTTGGATTGTAGTAACAGCCATCGAAGCCTTCATGTGTTCTGTGATGCCTCTGAGCATGCCTATGGGTCTGTGGCATATCTACGCACCGACCAAGGGGAAGGAAAGGTCCAGGTGGCTTTCTTGGCTGCGAGGTCGAGAGTTGCACCCAAGAAGCAACTCTCAATTCCAAGGCTAGACTTGTGTGGAGCCCTTACAGGAGCACAGCTGGCTTCTGTTCTGAAGAAAGAACTGACCCTTGACATCCACGATATGGTGTTCTGGACAGACTCGACTACAGTGCTTAACTGGCTCCATTCAGATTCATGCAGATATAAAGTCTTTGTGGGAACCAGAGTTGCAGAGGTACAAGAACTCTCTGCTGCAGCATCTTGGCGGGACGTTGACTCAGGAACCAATCCAGCAGACGATATCACGAGAGGGAAAACTGTGGCTCAGCTTGCTGGTGAGAATCGCTGGAGCCGGGAGCCACCATTTCTTCAGCTGCCACCCAGCCTTTGGCCACAAGCACCGGTGGGAGAAGCTAAAGAGGAAGTGGAGGAGCTGAAGAAGCCAGTGTTCTGTGGTCTGCTTACTGGATCCGCTAGTCCAGCGATACCTGACATCAAACAGTTCAGCACATATGAGGAACTCCTGAAAGCCACTGCTCGATTGATGCACGGGACGGCTAATGACACAAGTCAACCTGATGCTGATGACTTTGAAAGGGCAGAGCTGGTCCTGCTTAGACATTCTCAGATGGAGAGCTTCCCGAGAGAATTCACATTACTTAAATCAGAGAAGCTGATTCCATCCAGTAGCAGGCTAATTACCCTCACTCCTGAGTATGACAAGGCTTCTGACTTGATTAGAGTTGGAGGTCGACTCCGCAGATGCGAAGGCCTGAGCCCTGAGGTACTACATCCTGTACTTCTAGAACCTGCTCACCCAGTTACGAAGCTTCTAATCCAGCGATGTGACAATAAGCTCAACCACCCGGGAGCTGAACGTGTTTTCGCTGAGTTGCGCCGGAAATACTGGATCTTAAGGGGGAGAGAAGCAGTCAGAAGACATCAGCATTACTGTCTCGAATGCAAGAAGTGGAGAGGTCAGCCAGATGTCCCAAAAATGGCAGATTTGCCGCCCTCAAGTTTGAGGCTCTTCCGACCTGCTTTCTATTCGACTGGAATGGACTGCTTCGGCCCTATGCTCATTAAAGTGGGTCGGCGCACAGAAAAGAGGTGGGGCATCCTTTTCAAGTGTCTTACTACTCGAGCAGTTCACCTGGATCTGCTGGTAAACATGGATGTTGACTCCTTCTTGATGTCACTCAGACGGTTTATAGCCCGTAGAGGGAAGCCGTTTGAACTCCTTTCAGACCAGGGTACCAACTTTCGAGGTGCAAGTAAGGAACTACAAGAAGCATTCACCGCCCTAACGCCAGATCTTAGACAGCAACTGGCGGCAGAACAGATCCGATTCTGTTTCAATCCCCCTAGTGCTCCACACTTTGGAGGGTCTTGGGAGAGAGAGGTGCGATCTGTGAAAACCGCTCTGCGCACCACATTGGGAGCGCAGATAGTGTCAGAGGAAGTGCTGAGGACTGTCCTGCTTGAGGTGGAGAGTATACTCAACTCCAGACCTTTGGGTTATGTTTCTTCAGACATCGCAGACCCAGATCCCATCACGCCCTACTCTTTGTTGATGGGGCGGCCAGATTGCTCTCTACCCCAAGTGTTCTATCCAGAATCCGAGCTGCTCAGTCGTAAGAGGTGGAGACACACTCAAGTCCTGGCTGACCAATTCTGGAAGCACTTCATACGGCATTTTATGCCCACCTTGCAACCACGGCAGAAATGGCACAAGGAAACAGACAACATTGCAGTTGGATCTGTGGTTCTCATTGTTGATCAGCAGACCCCACGAGCACTCTGGC